CTCTCCACACACACACACACACACACACACACACACACACACACACACACACACACACACACACACACACACACTAGAAGTTTAATTAGCTATCATAATCTAACATGGTTATATCATTATTGAACAATCGATAAGGTATCACTTATGCATATGTTACGTGGTTGTGTATACCAATTAGTTTGACACACAAATATTATCACAGAATTGAATTACGTTTCTAATGTAACAATCTTCTAAACTAATCGTGCGGCATTCTTTTATATTTCCTGATAACGATTTGTTATAATTTTGAACACAGATAATGCGATAAAAATTTATTATCGACAGAAAATAAGTTTCCATTCGCGAATCATTCTGTGACAGAATCGTTTCATACAAGAATCATTACTCGTGGTTAATTAGTGTAAAAAAAATGTTCCAAAAACTCATCTTATTATTCTGCGTACTTTTAGCAGTTTTGGTATACGGTGAGTTAAAGTTTTTTACATATCCGCACTTTTTCACACTGAATTGTTTTACATAAATTGTGATTACAGCTGTTAATACCGAAAAGCACGAATATGTGGTCATCGAGGATTATCCGTACCATGTGAGAGAAACTCATTTCTTTTTTTTTCCATTTGCGATAGCTTGCAGTATCTACCGTGCGTTCCACCGACAAATAAAACTATATGCCATTCACATGTGGCTTTAATCGGTAGTCAGTACAGCACGGTGACTGTAAGCCGCTATTATTTTCAAATAAATCGGATTTCAGATAGAATTCGTTATTCCAATACAGGTATCGATCCAGATAGCCGGACTACACGTTTGCAGCGGCGCGTTCATACATGAATCGTGGATTATGACCGCGGCATCCTGTGTTTTTAGGTACGTGCTACTGCAAAAGTAATAGTATACAGGACGTTCCTCTTGGAAACCATGACTTTGACTTTAAAAGATTCTTTCACGAATTTAAAGCTGACTTTATAAAGCTGACTTTATCTTAGGATTTAGAAATATCAATATTTTTCAGTTTTGATATATGCAATATGAATTGACAATGTTTTATATTTTTTAACTTTCTCTCTCTCTCTCTCTCTCTCAGATAAAATTTTATAGTAGTTACGTTTTATACAGGAAAAGCAAATACAGATTTGAAAAAAATTTTGTCCATGAAAATAATTATGTAGGGAACTAAAGCATGATGAGCAATGCTGCAAACAAATTTTTTATTCATTCTTAGTGTTATTTTTAAGTTAAAATTATTTTCAAATCTGCATCTAGCTAAATTTTTAAATAACTAGCAAAATCGTTCTTTACAGAGTGTCCGGTAAGTTTTGACAAAACGCTCGTATGTATTAGATAGAGCGGACTAAATTAAATCGAAAAGTCCTCTACCATTTTGCAATTTTCGTAATTTTTTTTTAGTTACCCAATAAGCAGAATGTCTAAAATTGATATATGAAACAACTTTAAGATACCTTTAAGAGTTCTTTAAGAAATATCTTTAAGATATTTTATAAAGAACTCTGAAAGAAATCTTAAAATTGTCTTAATCGTCGATTTTACCCCTTTATTCGATAATCTTTAGAAATTAATATCTTGTTCACTATCGCGAAAATTGCAAAATGGTAGAAGACTTTTCGACTCAAGTATTTAATTAATACGTCGCTTTTATTAATATGTCGATTAATAAAATATTGATACATTTTATTAAAATGTTATTAATGTGTCCTAGTGCAAAATCATCAACAGTATCCGTACGCGTGCGTTCTTCTTATACCTCCACGGATGGCGATGTATTAGAAATAGACAATATTGTGGTGCACGAAAATTTTGATAAATATGTATACCTCAACGATATAGCATTGATGAAGGTATGTATCTCCATTCGCTGAAACAAACATCTCACGTGCCTGTGTTTTATTGGTTTATCCCATGCGCATCTATGCAAAGTTGTTACATTTATCAAACTTGTAGCTAAAGAGTCCTGCAGAGTTTGGAGAAAAGTTGCTTCCTGTCGCATTGCCGGAAAATGAAAAACTCCAGCATGGAGCCCATTGCGTCGTGACTGGCTGGAAACGAACTCAGGTAAATACTCGAGTGAGACGCGTAGTTTTAGTCTATTTTGGAATTTTCACAATCGTTTGCTCGAAAATATCGTTTCTTATCGTTTGACGAAGTATCCAGGTGCTACTTGGGGAACGCGTGACTCTGTCGTTCTTCCGCAGTGAAACGCTTCTCCTGGAGTTAGCAACTCTGGAACGAGATTTTTACAACGAACGTATATAGGCATTTTTATAGGAACTTGGATATGTAAACTTTCTGCAACTTCCCGCCAACCGGTTGGCACCCGTAAGAGGCGTTATTCAAAGTCACGTCGGTACCAAAAAGTAAATCGTTACAAAACACTGTCGCAAAACGTTCGTGCGCATTCGTAACCCTCCCTTCCTCCCCCCGTTTTGCTGCGACAAGGTCGCAATAACGAGAAACGTGTTGTAAAAACGTGCGAGCCGTGCCAAATTTCCAGGGGACCAACCCAAGCGGAGCTCTGCTCGCAGCGACCGCTGTGGCGATCGTAAATCAACGTACGTGCAAGGCGATGATGCCGAGCTACAAGCCGCTGTCTGAGGATATGTTGTGCGCTAATGCGACTCGCTCGTCGGAAAGGTGTCAGGTAAGATAAACATATAAGACGAAAGTGACGCGACACAACTCGGCTCGAGAAACGAGCGCGGTGATCCGTAAAGGGCTCGCGTGTATGAAACCCGCGACAAACTGTGGACGACACTCGAGAGAGCGTCGACGACACCGACAAGAGGCGCCTCGACCTCGTCCTCGCATGTCACGACACTTGGCACGCGTGCACGGTGTATATGCATCATCTACGTGCTATCGAGCCGGGTGCGCTCTCGTGTGTCAAGCGCAGTGAATCTGAAAGTACTGTGCGAGATGCCAAAATTATTGCGAAATGTTCTTTTAATCGAGAATATAGATAATAATAATAATATAATAAGGTTTTAGATCAATTAACTCGAGAATAGTGGCTTGATTTTTTTTATGATCATCTGGGTTGGTTTTAGAAACGAATAGTTCAAATCGAAGTGGATTCGATCCGATTCATTTTCAAAATTTCTGAGAAATTTGAATAAATTCGAAATTTCAAATTATCGGTGGTATTCGATTTCCAATTTGCTTATTTTATTTCCTTCATTTTAACGTCCGGGAAAATTTTATTTGAATTCTATTCGTTTTCGAATCAGAAAGATTATATTCGATTCAATTCGAAGCAAAAATTACAAATTCGATTCGATTTTATTTTATTCGACCTCATAAATGTTTGATTCGCACACCTTTAATATTTTAATATCCTAATTAAATCACTATTATTAATAACATATTATATTAATTGTTTTCCAATTTATTAGTGCTTGAGAACGTCATGGATATAGAATTAACTACAATTTTCTGAAAAAGCAAGTACAGAAACCAAACAAATATTAAACGGAAGTACTACGTTAAGTAACTTATTATGATAGTATTTCTAAAAAATTTTAACTTTTAATTAACATGATGTTTTCTTATGACGGGTTTCGATGAAATTAAGAATTTAAAGAATAATTATTAAAGAAAAAATGTGTTTTAAATATTTAAAACATTTTACAATAATTTACATTTTTTGCCACTAGGATATAAAAATATTCCAGTGATTATTCTCGGATTAATGAGCAAGATGATTTACAATTATATTAATAGTGGTTCATTTATTATTACGAATGTTATTAACTGAAACCGATTAAGATTATTGAGATTTTTTAGTAATTTCAAGCACCAATATCGATATGTGAATCTAAGCGCAATCTCGTAATGATCTCACGAGGAGCAGCGATATGTGGAAAATGCGAGGCGCGTAAATTAAGAGCAGTCGATAGTAGTCGAATTCCAATTGTGCCATGGCCACGAGTGTACAATTACATCAATGGAGTCAATAGTCTTTCCGCAAGTACACGCGCGGCTGGTTCAGGTGTCGGATGCACCAGATCGGTGAACAATGCAGCACTTGACTCGAGAACGCAATTTCCACGAGACGCCGAAGCACCGCAAGCGAAATGCGAAGAGACTCGCGCCGGGCGCTAGAAAAATTCCCGTTATTTCGCGACGTGACTATATGCGATCATGTTCGAAGACCGCGGAGCATGAGAGTATCTCGTATATGGTCACAATGTTTTTGTAAAACGTACCTTATTATATTTAAAATAAATTTATGTTATAGCGAAGGTTCAGATTTGGTAGAGATTTTGTAAAGATTTATATACAACTTTTACTGCTTTTTACTGCAGCTTTTAAAAATTATGAAACAAAAGCCACATACACACGTACGCGCACACGCATGTGAAGTAAATATTATTTTTAAAAAGAGAAAGAGAGAGAGGATTAAAATTTAAAAAAGACATATCAAGATGTTGTGTGCTACGTCAGTGCTATAATCCGTCATATAGCGCTTCGGTTCCTAGCAATTAACGCGAGTAAAGCTTCCAGCGATTATAACCATCATGATATTACTGTCTGCAGGGTGATCTAGGTGCGCCTCTAGTGTCGGAGCAGATGCTGATTGGCATTCTATCCTATGGATTAGGTTGCGATACCAGGATACATCCTGATGTCTATACTCGTGTCAGCAGCTACTTACCTTGGATCTTTACGAACACTGGCATCTCTTATAAATAAAGCAGTATACATACGATTAACATTCGCTTGCACTTAATTATGTACAAATTATAACGTATCGTACTTTTCTTATTAATAAATTCTGCAAGTTGCCATAAATATACTGAATAATCTACGAGATTTCCCACGCTTAATTTCTGATAACTGAATATCCTTGATTAAATTTTTCATCCTATCATAGCTGTTATAAATTAAACTGAAATACGATATTTCGTTTTACACATTCATGACATTGCAAGTCGCATGATGTGCATCTCTCTCTCTCTCTCTCTCTCTCTCTCACTCTCGCTCGCTCACTCTCTGAGGACAAGAAAGTAACCGTTCGAGTGCAAATAGACGACTGTTAGAACTCAAACGTTACGGAATTTCGTCAATACTTGATGCATATTCATAAAGGTTTAATATAGCAACGAGTTAGCAATCAATTATTTCGACCTGTCGCGTGCGTACTCGCTCATCGATAAAGTCCATGATCATGAATACAGTATCTCGAGCATGCCATTTAAAAGCGCTAGTGACGAACGTCCCGTACGTCCCATACTTCCGATTTCAAGTGCCACGCTTAAGCTTAATTATCGTGTTTCGAAACCGAAACTTCCGATGTACGATACGGTCGCACCGCCGCAGATAGCCGTTAATTTACCATCGATATTTCATCGAGTGCCAATTAATGGAAGGGATTAAAAGTTTATACAAATTCATACCAGCAGTTCATTTCCGTCCCGCTGAGAGTTCGATTGTGTGGAATTAAGCAGCGACCATTAAAAACCCTTTTAACGACCATTAAAGAATTAATGACACATATTTTTAATCTACCTCCGCGAGATATTTATTGAGATAAAAAATGATACGAAATTTACTATCCGGTAATAATTATATTACCAAGATAAAAAAATTGTATTATTGCATTGCTTCTTTATCAAATATAATTAGAAACAATGTAAGATAATTTCTATAAAAAAAATATGTTATATTGAATCAAATAATCTAAATAAATATCTATATCATTTACAAAGTACTTATAATATCAATTTTCATTTTTGTTTCTTTGTAAGTGAAAAAGATCTAAACTCACACATATTCCGACTTTCTCATATATCTAATTATGCAGTATCTCAATAAATATCCTAACATTCCTAATGCGATCGAAAACCGATTTTTTTACTTTTCAAAAACATTATTCCTATTAAACATTTGTCCTAATGAATTGCCGTCCTAAAAAATAAAAGCAAATGTTTATGTTATTAAAACAGAATTCAGAACAGTGACAATCTTGCGTTTCGCGGGTTTTCTCCGTGTTCAGATCCATTCTTGGAATGCCAACGTTTCGTGAACCTTGCAGTTCACTTCATCAGGGCGAGGAGCAGCCTGATGAAGTGAACTGCAAGGTTTACGAAACGTTGGCATTCCAAGAATGGATCTGAACACGGAGAAAACCCGCGAAACGCAAGATTGTCACATAAGTAACACCCGTGAAAGCCTCAAGAATATTAATTCAGAACAGTCTTTAGATATTCATCTAGTAATTCTAATAGATTCTGTATCATTAAGTATAAATCCTTAATTATTAAGAATGTATTCCCTGAGTATATAATTGTAGTCTCGAGTTTCCTTTATAATATTCGCTATATGTAAGTATAAAAATCAATAGGAGTCGTCGAGATATATTACTGTTTCTTCCGTTAACCCGTGCGGAGAAAAATATCGCTGTCAGAAAGCTCGCCAATTTTCGATCGCGACTGCTCGATATTTAAAACTGTCTGCATAACGGCATAAGAATAAAAGAACCACGACAAGCGATACTTTTCATCTGTGTGCAAAGATTAATATTTTTTCATGAACGGATTTCTGTGCAACATTTCTCTCTTTCTCTTTCTTTCTTTTTTTTCTTCTACCATCCGCTTCATCGTCTCGAAGCCAGCTCGCTAACAAAAACTACACAACGGAGAGAAAAAAAAAATGAAAGCTTCTCGCTCTTGTACATACGCTTGCTTGTCCTCCATCCTTCAACCCCACATTTATTATTTTTATCTCGGTGGACAAAAAATTATCATCTAATCATCTTCTTCGATGAACTCTATGCAAATCATGTTTGGAATGATTTTATAAAGTGTCATAATTCTCTCTTCTATAACTGCAAGAATTATCAAGATATGCACGTAAAAGTGCAGTAAAAAGAAAGTAAAACAAGAGATTTTTAGAAATATTTTATGATAATTTGTATAAAACTAATATGTTATACTGAATCAAATAATATAAATAAATATCTATATCATTTAATAAAATACTCATAATATCAATTTTCATCTTTGTTTTTTGTAAATGAAAAAGATCTGAACTCGCTTATTCCGATTTTCTCATATAAGATAATCAGAGATAAAGAGAAATCAAATTTGACCATAAAATGTTTAAAGCTTTAAGAATTTGTCTCTGATTGAGAGAGATTGACAACTTCAATTATCTAAAAAATTATGAAAATTAGAAATGTCGTTTTTTCTACGTTTACATATGTATATCTAGTAGATATTTATTCTTAAGTCTACAGCTTACAACAAATAAATAATGATATAACTAACTAAATATTATTTTGAAAAATTTAATAATTATTTAAACTTGCGTGACTCCAAGTATAACAACTTTAATCGCATAAAAATTCAACGAATGGATTATTGAAATGGATACGGTTCCGATTTTTGGAATCATTGAATATTGCACAGTATTCATAAATACTGTCGTGAGATGAAAACGCGAATGCAGCGTTAACAAATTATTATTTCAATTCGACAACAATTTATCGTGCGATATAATCATATTACGCAAATTATCCTAATATTGCAATTACTGGTTTTATAATAACATTTTTTTAACATGATCAAAGTTATCATTAATTTGTATCCAATTTTTTGTATCCAATGATAATTTGCGATAACTTTTAGATTTATATTTACTAAAGTGTTTGTCGGTTACAATTACTATTCAAAAATAGAAACATTTATATCTCTCAGTGAGCGATTGCGATCATTCCGTGCCACTACAGAAACATATAACATAAGAGTTATTCTCGTTATCGAGTTTTTATAACAGCATATTTATATGCACGTACTATGGAGTGCTATATAGAAATTCTGTGCAAATTGCAGTCCAATCTGACAGTTATGCTAGTCTAACTAAATCTCTCTATACTGCTATTGTCGCAATTGCCATTGCGACATAGTTTAGAAATCCCTTTGTTGAAACTTGGATTCATCAACAATCACCTGTTCGATATACTTACAGATACTGGACAATGCTTTTCACCTTCTCCCCAGCGGATCTTTGATTGATCGGTCTCTAACAGGCCAATATTCGGATTAATGTTTCAATGCAATTGTATCATAAACTACTAACTAGCGTACGCGAATTTAACTTCGACATGAAACAAGAATTGAAAAAGATCTTTCATGCCTGAAAGGATCGTTAGAATGTTCTGCGAGAATGCTCTTAAATAAAAATATACTTTATTATTACGTTTTGTTGTTATTTTAAAATATATGGTTACACAAAGACGTATTGTTATAATTATTCATTACGAATATAAAACAATTAATATTATATAACATTGTTGGAAAAATAAAGTAATATAATAATTTATTAATAAGAAAATAAGTAATTGTTTTACATTATAAACAATGAGTATTTATTTAAGCAACAATAACAAAAAATATAGAATTTCGAACAATTGTCTATATTAATGTTATATACGCATATTTGCACCTTTATTCGTTTCTTTAAAAATTTTAAATAATTTTATATACATTGAACACATTATAGTGCTCCATTTAATTATTAATTTTAATTATCTAGCATATGACAGCATTAATTTTATTTACGCATGAATTTTTCTTTTCAATTTTTTACGTCATTACATTTCAAAATTTAAATATTCACGTATTATTACATGTTTTTCTGCAGTAGATATGATCCGATCGTTATGGATGAACGAGAATAAAAGCATGAGTCGCACTAGTACCGTAAAAATTTCCGTCGCTGAATTTTTTGTTAGATCTGCGCTTCTTTATTCTGACATCCGGATTAATTGATGCCACTATTAATTTTTCCAAGCGCGAGAGAAATTTCCGATCATCCAGCTTCCGAGAATTCGACCTAGATTCCACTTGTTTGTCGTCGCAACCGTCCGGTGGGACCAATCGTACCAGAACAAAATACCGAAGATGAACGTTGAAACTAAAGCTTACCAGGCTTTACTGTACGTCCATCCGAGATGATCCGGTACGAGCCGATCAGAAAATAATTAAACGACTTCACCAGGCAAGTAATTAAACGTAATCATTACAAGAGACGCTCAAGCCGAAAAGCGATATTCTTTTTGGGAAGTCAGCTCTTTTCGAACGAAAAATTCAAGAAGCAAGATAAAGGCCCACTTCGCTACGACGAAGGAACCGTCGTGATTTCTCTCTCTCTCTCTCTCTCTCTCTCTCTCTCTCTCTCTCTCTCTCTCGCGAGTTTATTCAAACTCCAGTAAACTTCGCGGACTTGGATACGGTGGTTCCAGGGTTCCAGGGTTAGTAACGTTCCACGGCACATATAATTCATCGTTATCAGAAATTCCGGATATATTCGCGCTCTCGAAATAACATAGGCAGAACGAGACGTGTACCGCCGCGCCGCAGCCAGACAACAGGGTTCTGATATCCGCGGGAATATCGATCGTTCATACCGGTTATAATATCGTGCCGCATTAGTATGCCACGTCTGCCACGATTCTTAACGACCAGAACCAGATAGCGCGAACACGCTGCACCTCGACGCGATTTCGGCATGAAGCTCTTTATGGGACGAGAGACGATCATCCGATGTCACGTACAACAGCAATGTCGGTCTTTACGGCGACACCCGGTACGTACGTAGGTAAAGCGGACGTGGGCATCGACTGTTTGTGCTACCCTTTACAAGTCAGCCACCTATGTTGGGGCTGCAAAACCGTTTATTCAATGCCACCGCGGCGGTGGTGGCAGCGAAACCTAAAGCACCGTTCCGAGTCGACGCTGAAATTAATAATCTTGCGTGACGAACGATTACGTCGAGGCGAGTGTAAAGGGCAGCAAGATAATATTTATTGCATTGTACAAAATTACATGTCACCATCTTAGAACTGATTATACCTGCTTTAACGCAGAGACGACACAATCCTCGAAAGTTCCTGGTGATTAGACCCGCGCAATTATAAACAGCTACATCAAGTCCGCATAAATCGCGATTAAACGCAATCCAAGTTGTTGTTAATCAAAATCGATCCTGGTTTTCAATGGTACTTTAAACTTCAGGCGAGACTTGGGCAAGGTCAATGTTTGTACATTTCGTGTTTATTTGTTTCCCTGAAAGCCATGGTCCGTTGAAATATCTTAAGTTCGACATCCGTTGTCGATATACGTAACAAAAAGGACTTCGTTGCCGCAGCCACTCCATCGCTACTATTGTATGCACATTCAAATCGTGAAAGCAATCAAACTTCGTTGCGATAAACAATTATTTGATGTTACAACAAAACTTGGTTTTACTGAAAAATCCTACTAGGTAAATTTGCTCGTCGAAATGCTCGTAGAATTTGTTACTAAATTTTAATTTGTTGTTAACATAAAATAAAGTATGTCTCTAATAAGTACATCACGCACAAAATTGCAGCAAAATAATTTATATATTAGATATCATAGCAAAATCAGATTTAATAAAATTATTTTTAACGAATAGAGTATTTGAGAATTAATATTTTCTTAACAAATTATTTATAATAATTAACAATTCGCTGCAGTATAAGATATATCCTAACAATGAATCTTTTCTCTTTATATACGCTTATATCGATAAAATAAAATGCATGACGTAATAAAAAAATTGTAACTGTTGCACTTTAAATAAATATGTATTCACAGAATATAAATCTATCCATAACAGATTATTCCAAAATATACTAATTGAGCTTAAAACAGATTTAGATAAATGTGAAAAGAAGAGTTTTGTTGAAGTATTTAAAAATTTTTAGCTAGATATAGATCTAAAAATGATTTTGTTTGAATTATCAAAATAATTATGTAGAACACTCAAACTAATTGTCCAATATTAAAATTTTTTGCTGCATTGTCATCAACGTTTAAACTTTCTACATAAATTTTTGATAATCTAACAAATTTATTTTCAGATCTATATCTAGTTAAATTTTTAAGTACTTTAGAAAAACCGTTCTTTCGGTGTAAAGATTGAAAACAATATAGCTTACACAAGTTTAAGTTTTGATGCGAGTAAACATACAAAGATAATATTTACGTTTATTCGTGGAAAGGGTAAAACAATTGAGAATTTATTGAAATTTCACTTATAATTTCCGTTTTAGAATTATTATTATTGTAAAATCTTTTCTATATTTAGCTGTCCCTTTATTGTAAAATTTTTAGGTAGTATTTTTTCGTAATGCCGTCTAGTTTTGATACGGTTAAACAGAAGTAAATATTTTTTGAACGGTACGCTGCATCTCTTTCCTATCTTGGAAAACATTCAGAGAGAGGGAAAAAATTAATTCTGCTACACGTTCGCCTGCTCGGTTACCCACTGCCGTATGGCAGGTACTCGCGTATACACTCCTGGAAATCCAACACTCGCACACTCCTGAGCGCCCCAGGACACGATCCCAATTTGGAGCCCGTAGCCAACGAGTGCACCTCCGGAATCTCCCTGCGTCACATGAACAAATAAACCTTTTTTTCACTTCCGCATGACAGAAATCAATTTCCAAAAAGTCGCGTGGATCAAAAATAGAATGAGATCGTTTTAATGTCTTCCGAAGACGTCAGTTGTGCTCTTTTTTCCGAAATATTAAATTATATAAAGTTATTAACAGAAATTATATATGTACATTTTTGTATGCTAATATAAATGTAATATAAATTAAATAGTAAAATATATCGTTGATAACAGTAATGTGTGCAACATGCGGCCCGCATATAGTCCACTTATGAACTTTCTATGGCCCGCTAGCTCATAAGGGAAAATATAAAATCGTTTGTATTACACTTTTTATTTTGTGCAAATAAAATAAACATTATAAGGTCCAAAATATTTTACCTATTTCTAAAAATGGCTTCGCATCACTAGTTTGTAACATATAGAGCAATCTTATTCGCTTTCTCAAAAAAATGCTAAAAGAGTTGAATATATTCCGTTTCACATTCACGACACATGATAAAAAAATATGTAGAAAGAATTGTCTAATCAGAGGATTTCGAATATCCGTCATGGAATTGCCGACAGATAGAAAATAAGCATTGAAAACGTACCTGACAGGTGTCTTTTTCACCTTTGTCATCACCGGCGCAGATCATGTTGGAAGTCACTAGCCGATTACGAGCATAGACCTTTCGACACTTCTCTTGATCAGTGACAGATATATTCGCAGTTCGTAGTACTTCTGAAGTCGTACCATTTACCTGAAATTTGCAGCACGCGTGTACACTGTGGGCTGCCAAACGTTTACGAACATCCGCCCGTCCGTTCACCGAAGATCCCGTCAACATTTGTCGCGACGATCAACCGAAACTACGTCAAGCGCTCGGCAAACGAATCTTAACGTTTACACACAGCTAAACAACCTCGCTGAACATTACCATCGACTAAGCATCTTAGTGGCAATAAATCTTGACACTGATACGAGTGTGTAGACGCGAGAATCGAGACAACTTATGAACGACCAGAAATGACTTACCGATGTTTTTCCCCAGCCTGTAACGATTACCTTGGTATCAGTTTTAATGCTCATCGATGGAAGCGCAAGAAGGATAGGTTTTATATTTTGTTTGAATGTTAAAAGAGTAGACAACTAGAAAAAAAGTCTTTTATCTAATCTAATAGGGAAAATGTACGAAATAAACTATATAATTGGCTACGTACTTTAATTAAAGCCACGTCGTAATCGTAAGTTAGCGGATGATACTTCTCATGACAAATGATCGAGGCAATATCTTTGATTAGACCTCCTTTGTTGTGATACGTACTTCCAATGCGCACTTTGAAGACCGATAGCGTCTTCTCGCTAAAATGATACATTTATGCCCAATTTCTTCACTTCCAGATAAGTTGAGAATAATCTTATCCAGGAGATATCTCCATTATATCCTGGCTGATATCTCTTGGATAAAATTATCTAGAGATGAAAAAATTGGGCATAAATCAAGTGCTCTTGAAGCGCTTATGATTTCTGCGAGACTTACATAAGTTATGCTACCTAATCTTAATTAATTTTAAGAGACAGCGAAGCAATCAAGAATAAGAAATTCACGCATACCCATAGACACAATGTGCCGCTGTTAAAATCCATTGTTTGCTAATTATGGAACCTCCACATGCAAGTTTATCCTTATAATGAATAGAGACCTATTGAAAATTATTTAAAAAAAATTTTTCAGATAATCTGCAGGATAATCTCAATTATAATAATTTCATGCAATTGCTCAGGTGCTCAATCATATGACAATCGTGAGAAGACATTTCAACTGTAAACTGACCTGATACGGATGCTCAGTAATGGTTGTAGATGTACCACCGACTATTCTATACTCGAAGCACGAGGCGGAAGCTATCAACACCATGCAGAATATAATCAGCATGACTCCGACTGTAGACAACTTGGTTACTGACATTGTTGTTCGTGAGACTAAGCTCGAATTAACGACGAATCCCGATAAGACAAACGACGATATCAAGATATGATATGACATTGATGTTCTTCGTAAGAATCATAACGTGCATTTTCAAGTATGATTAGTTATGATATTATATATATCTTATATATAAAAATAGATCAATAATTTTTAGATATAAAACTAAACGTACAATAATACGTTGTAAATTAATTTAAGAGAATTAAAACTAACAGAATTATATATTTATACTTTAGAAACATTTTTTCTATCTGAACAGTCACTAGATAGATCAAATTGCTCTAAATTTGGTTGACATTTTAAAGCTTTTAACGTTGCATCAGTGTTCCTGGCTATCAATCTTTTTCTTCTATTTTTATATGCTATACGATTTCATAGTGTAGCGGAAAATATTCTAACTATTTTTTGTATTCGCGCAATATATATTTTTATATAAAATAAAAATACGTTCATAGAGCAATCCGTCGACTATGTGAAAAATAAAATTTGATTTTTAAAATTAAATTTTCGGAAAACTAATGCTCGCCAGAGTTATTTCCATAAACTCGAAGCGCTTTTTAATCTTTTTAACCTCAAAATTATTTTAAATAGTCCACGTAAGATCAGTACAATGATATTATTGTATTAAGAATATATCTGAAATATTTCAAAATAATAACAAAATTATGAAAAAATTACAGATTATTCTAAATCGTATTTAGAAGTAATACAACAAATTTTTTTGTAACAGTTTGCTATCTGGATCATAAGTTACAATATTTTAATAAATAGTAATATTTTATAAATCTGCGCTCTAATAGAAATGTTTGGAAATGTATTATAAAATAAATGTCAAAAATCTCAATTTCTTAATGTAAGTACTTTATATATTTAAGATTATTTATGTAAAGTTACATTACGATGCATGGACTAGATGATCAGTAAATAAACAAAATATTTATTTGTTCTAAATCTTTGTAACTAATCAGTGAATCACAATGAAATTTTGCATGAATCATTTTCAATACTTAAAGTACTTATTAAAAAATTTTAATTTTGTTATCATTTTTTAAATTTTAATTTATAACAATAAAAATAATAATAAATAAAATAAGTAAACAATAAAAACAGAATATTATGAATATAACTTTCATATGTACATAGTTTATTTAAAATATAAATATTAACACACTTGTAAAAATAACTTTTAAATCTTTAAGTGCAAATTAATTCAGTGCCTTTAAATATATATTGCCTTGTAACTCGATTTAAAAATTTGATGCCTTAAACTCCATTTTTAAATATTTTCTCGCTCTTTTGCGGTTGGAAGTATAGATCTTTAAATTTTTAAAACACTATCTACTTTTGTGAAACAGACGATATAATTTTACGAAATAACAGTAAACGAAAAGCGCTATTTAAACACTGCATGTTTTCGCATTTAAATTAAAAAAGAATGTAGTTAAAACCATAAAATAATTTGTTCTATTCTGAATAAAGTTGCTGTGACTCATGAAACGTGACTCATAAATAAAACACAAAAAATGATATTAGAGGTTTCGAAATGGAAGAAATAACTTTACAGCATGACAACGCTCGATTATTGCAAGGGAAACGAAAGATGTCGATGCTTTGTGCTGAGATTATCCCACTCATACGAATTATTCACCAGGACTACGGATTACTATCTGTTTCGATCGCTCGAACATCATCTGACTAATTCACATTTTAGAACAGTCGAAGAGGTCCGTAAAAGTCTTCAAGACTTTATCGACTCAAAACTATCAAGTTTTTTCCGGGAGAGAACTCGTCAATTGCCTGATAAAAATAAAGTCTAAAATAGAAAATACTTTACTAAAACATTGCTTTGAACATTAAATTTCTATTTGATTTTTTGTGAAAAAACTTTAAATTTCATAAAAGAAAGCACTAAATTAATTTGTACCTAATAACTATCTTAGGCTGTAATTGTACTTATAGACATTTGAATTGAGATTTCAATATTTAATATATTATAATCTTAAGACAGTTATTAGATGCACAAAGGACTATGCTCAGTTTGGGCCCCGGCTGAACAGCATTGAGACCTAGCTAGGATTGCAGAACATCAAAAAAGGATTAAAAAGTTCCATATGCACAACTTTGTAAAATGAGTCCATTTAGTGCTACAGCTATTCAAAGTTCGCTATTATGGCCATGTATTGTGTACCATGTAGGACAGGTTTTATTCGATTTCTCGAATCATCTAGTATCTGGAATATGTCCAATCTTGATGAAGACAACTAAAACCTTTTTTGGACCCCAAATGAATAGTTATAAGTAATATATAATATATTAATCGGGGAAGAGGGGAGAGAGACATTCAAAGTATGAAACAAAAAGTTTTAATTGTCTAATTGAAATATGGCCAATATAGCACTCAGGAAACCTCTCCTAGTTAGGCTTATGGAATTTTTGTTTCTCTTTTGATACCTTAAAATTTTAGGCATGTCTCAAAGTTGTTCATCCGGGGTCCAAATTCCCCTATAAAACTGGGCATAGTCCTTTATTTATTTATATCTTTGTAATTATAATCAGTGAATCACAATGAAACTTTGCATAAGTTATTTTAAATATTTTAAGTACTTATAAAAAAATGTCTCTGTCGTTGTCTCTTATAATAAATTGAGATTAGATAAATATTTCTAATAAGTTTGCATAACGATTTAAATTGAGTGAAATTAATCGTTACTTTAGAATTCACAAAACAAAACGCAAAATGTATGCTGATAACATGTGAAAATTAAATTAAAATAATAAGAAGAATAATATTTAATGTACATTTAGTTTAAGTCAGATATTTCGTGTTGTCGACAAGCCGACTGACGAGCGGTCTTGATATAATATTTGTTGTTACGGTAAACAGTATGGCATTCTGTACACAGAAGGTTGTTGCGCTATCATTCATAGCACACGCAAAACGACAAGTGTTATAGTAGCGTGATCCGTTCTGTCGCGTTATTTTCTCTGAAGCACATTAGAAAAAAAGTATGATTTCTTTTAAACAATTAGCAATATAAATAGTTCCATTCTTACGCGATTTTAAACTAATAGTAATTACTTAACTCTTATAATTAATGATTTGTAAACGTAAAAAGGCATCATTTATTTACCGAAACGGATATAGACGCTTTATTCAAAGAAAAAGTTAAAGCACAAAACGAGTACTATAAATTATTGCTTACGACATTTTTAATAATTACTTCTTTAATAAAAAAAAGTCTTGTATTCGCGAATGTATTTTGTATTTCACTTTAAATTTTTCGCCAATTCAAATACATTTCCTACATTGCAAATGTATAAAATTTTCATAGATATGTGCGATTCAGTTTTCCGTGTAAAAATAACACTGTACGCGTTTAAATGTATAAATCCATTTTACAAAATGTAGTATATTATTTTTACATAGAAAACTAAATCACACGCATACATAAAGACACTTATTACATACTTCAATTTGTAATGTAGCATTTAATTCTTTTTGTAACTAAATATATCATATTTTGCTTTACATTTTCGTCAAATATGGTTGCTTAGAAAATCGAAATTGAGATCGTAAAGTGATATACAAATCCCCGAATAAAATGTTTCTAATAGTGACAGTAATGAAAAGCTATTATAATGTTGATCGATTATTAATGATATAAATAATCACTGAAATATTTTCTACAAATATGTGTCGCGTTAATGTTCAAAGTGTTGCATAAAAGCGTCATACATTCATAAACTTTAGTGATTAGCTCGCACGCGATCGTAACTAACCATGTTTTTGCGAGTGTTATGTTATGTGTGTGCGACAAAAGGAAGGAGAAGGTCTCGAAAGACGACAGCGCAGCAACCGTGAGGTAAATACCTTATTTATGTCATTTATTATTTTCATATTAAATTTTATACATTTCCTTTTATTTGACTCATTTATCTGCATAATAAAACAAAGATAAAAAAAAGAATTTTTATTTAAACGTTTTATAACAATTTACGTATATTTAAAAACAGAGTTTTTTTGTGTGTGTATATGTAGAATTAATCACCTTTTTAATCATTTTATTAAATATCAATTTTCAAAGACTAAATAATGAATTCAATACAAGCAATAATTATTTTTTGAAATATTAGTTATTTTCTACACCGCTTTAATTTGAATATATCTACATATATGTATTGTAGACTAACGTAATTGTGTTACAATTCCATTGTTGCGTATATGTCGATGAGCAGAAAATTATCTTTGTTTTAACTTGAAATGACGGATCAATGAAAACAAAGTATTATACATATATATATGTATATATAAGTATTATATATATGTATATATATATAAGTATTATATATATGTAATTGTAAGATATGTGCAACATAATAACTCTTTAATATCTAATCTAAGGACAAATATTAAAGATAAATGTAACATGTTTTGTAAATCTATCGCTTTAAAACAAATAATTTAAACTAGTCGAACAGACTAGTAGAGAATAATCTCATTTAGAATAGTCTAATTTAGAATAATCTAATCTCCAAAAGTAGGTATATGCAATCATTTATCGGTTTATCCTGCACAGAAGGGATATACATGTTATACGCGAAACTCATAAAATATACTTGATATAGTAAGACACTGTAATTGTGCACAAATAGAGAAAAGCTAATTATTTGCTATCGCGACCAATCACGTTTATTGCGAAACAACAATCTCACTTACCGGAATGTTGCTCGACGAATCTGAGTGGGTGCTGCCCTCGTATACGCAAACTTCCTCCTGGGTTAACTCGTTGTAATCTGTTCGAAATTTCCAACTCCTAATACTTACTTAGTTTCCACCACGTACAACGGTTTAACACGTACGTGATGCTGCATGCTGACGCACGAACAATATGAAATATTCCACTGTCATGCTTCTTGAAGTTATATTTGCATCCTTTAGCATGAGTCTGGTCTAGATCTATTTTCCAAGCATCACAAT